GATAAGGGAAAGGAGTAGAGGATAAAGTAAAGGAGAAAGGTCAGTTTCAAAAAGCTGTCCTGCCAGATCTTGCTTAGAAAACTATTCGGGTATCCAAAGACTGAGAATATAAGGAGATAGATGAAATTAGCTCAATGGGGGGAAAAAAAAAAGACTAATGATAAATAAACATCTCGGGACAAAAAGAACAAAGCAAAACTTCCTGTATTTCTTTTTTAAACATGAGTCACAGTCACTTCCCATTCTCCATGCTCCTCGTCAGATTTCTATAAAAAATTCAAAATAAAATTCAGTTTTTAGGTGATACAGGTCTCAGAGTTTTGGAGATTTTGCTCCCCTGCCAATCTTACTCTTTACGTTTTTAGGACTTGAATCTTAAACAACAAGTAAAAAAGAAATAGATTTCTATTTGGACAAGAAATAAAGCTATAGAGTAAATCCATTATCTTCCTTTCTTTTGTAAAGCTTTTTGTTTTGAGACTGTATTTAGTTTGGTCAGAAAAAGAAATTCTAACTCATGATTCTATGACAAAAAAGGAAATATAAAGATTCTTTTCCTAATTCAGTCTTCTACCACCTGCAGGGAGTCCAGTTCTTAAAAAGTACTTCACAGAAGAATATAGTGTTTTCAATGCAAACTAGATTTTAAGAAACCTTGATATTCAAATGTAAATGAAAAAGCAAACAAGACATTTTCTAACCTTAAAGTATACTAAAAGGTTTACTTTCTCAAGAATTACAATATATGGCAAAATTTGAATTATATTCCATTAAACTAAGGTGTGTAACTATTTTAATTAGTAAGCAAAACTGTCACGTTACTATATATTTCTGACATTCCATATCTGAGTTTTAAAGCCTATATAATATTAGGACGTTAATTGTAAAATTGCAAAAGTTTCCTCTCACATCTTTAAATTAACATACTTTATAAAAGAGATCTTATCAATATGGAAAATTCTAAAACTGTGTGCATTTCATAGATACGTATTTGTATTTTATCTATTTTGTGGCTGTTGGAGAATGTATTTTTTTAATTGTATATTCAAATGGAATTTTGTCATTCTCTTTTATATTTCTCTTCAAAAACGCTATTCTTTCTGTGTTCAATCTCATACATTTATGTGCTCATACATAAATGTAGATATATATTTGAACACACAGACACACATACATAGGCTTAGGATAACTATTTTACTCATGCCTCTTAAAATGACAGGATTTTAAAAAGGGACTATGTTCATTTAAGTTCACATTCATATGCAAGGTACTTTTTTTGGGTCGTTGTTTATCGAATTCTTGATAACTTCGACTCTTCCACAATGAAAAGTAAAGCATTCTGTCACAAAAGAAGGGAGGATGAGATACCAAGGTCAAAGGGCATTTTAGAAACAAACAGCTGGACCAGTTTATTTAAACAGATAGAGGGATGGGCGAGCTGACCTCAGTTTGACTTATAGTGGGAGGAGCAAGAATGTCATTTTATTACTTCGCCCAGAAGGAAAATGTTTTTGTATCTGAATTTACCCTGAAGGCATCTAAATATGACTCTGCTGTATGTAGCATAATTCCAAAAAGAGAGGACATATAAAATAGTATGAAATGATGATAAAATACACTAAAGAGAATCAAGTGTGGAGATGGTCTAAGATCAAAAAGGTCATGTTGTTTTAAAAAAAAAATGAAATATTTTGCTATTTACCTATTTTCAGATAGATGTCCATCATGACCCCAAATAATAACTTGTTCACATAAGTATAGTAATTGCAATTCAGTAGCATTCTAAAAGATTACTACATCCTATATCAACTAAATCTAAAAGATTACTACGTCCTGAACTAATATTTCATTATACTGAAGTTTTAAAAATTAAATGTTTCAAAAGTAAGAAGCCGCAGGTAGACCTGCTAAATGTGGTTAGACAGCTCAGAAAAAGTGATTAGGTTTTCTCAGGTTTTCAGTGTTTTTGTTTATGTTTCGTTTTTTAATGAAAGGTTTCCCACGTTGGCATCGACATAGTCTATGGGTAGCTTATTAAATCTGTGTTCTTAATAACAACAAACAGTTTTTGCCACCAAAAAAAGAAGCAAATAACATCTAGTACCTGTGGGCACTTGGCTAAGAGACTGTGGTATTTTTTCTATGTATTTGCTTTCTACCTGGGGATCAGAGCAGGCCTGGAATAAATGTCGTTGGTGTTGTCCACTGTAATACTTCAGGAAGACACAGGCAAAGATCATCCTACCGAGCAGAGTGACCCAGGTGTTGATGGACTCAAGATCCTAGAAGGACTCACATTCTAGAAGGCACATTTTAAGAAGCACTAATGTTTAACCTAAGGATTAGAGAGGGGGAGAAACCTATAGGCATAATGGCTATGTTTAACTATTTGACAGGCTATCCTATGGAAGTAAAATTAGAATTGTTTAAAGTACTTCAGAGTTGTACTGGTGAAACTATTAGGCTGGTGCAAAAGTAATTGCTGTTTTTGCCATTCAAAGTAATGGCAAGACCACAATTACTTTTGCATCAACATAAATATTTTTGATCAAGTAAGGCAGAATCTTTTAACAGCCTTGTTTATAGATGGAGTGGATTCTCAAGTAAGGTGATAGAGTGCTGTATTAGTTCAGCAGAGGTTACCTATGTACTTTTTGGGGAGAGATATCATACAGGGGATTCATGTCAGTGACCAAACGAGGTGACTATTAAAGCCCTTTCCAAACCTGGTGTAATTTTTTAAAAATGAACTCATGGGTTTACTAGTCATAGACTCAAACCTGAGTTGATTATTATGAATTAGCCTATGGGAGTCTGAATATGTGAGTATGATGGAGACAAGCTTTGGAATATAGATAAATTAAGTCACTGTAACCTCTCTCTTTCTGAATGCCTTATCATTGTCTTTATACACAAACAGTGCAGCCATCAAAATTTTTAACTTATAAAATGTTCACAGTCATGCTTATTCCTTGACTAAAGGGTTGCTGCCTGTGGTAATTGGCTCAAAACCAGCTAATTTTTATATATCTATTTAGTCTGGATATTCTAGATGAGTGGCACAGTAGTGGCAGTGCTCTGGTCACTGCACCAGAAAGGAGGGTGCGTGCTACCACTGACAGCTGTGTGTCATTTAGCAAATTATTAACATCTCTTTGGTAACATGTGACCTCAAAAAAGTGACTTAATTTTTCTGAGCCCAGGCTTCTCATCTGTTAAAAATGGCTCTTCCTATTTTTAGGTAAGTAGCATAAGTCATATCCATAAAAGATTATGTTTTTAAAAAGTCTGGAAAAAGAACGTTAACAGACAGAATTCCTTCCCTCTAAGAGTCTGCAGATTATGAACAGTACCATAGATAAAGAGATGTTTTTGCTCTTTTACCTACATTAGTTACTATGAAAATTACTTTTAGTATATGCAGAATATTAATATTAAATAATTTTCTAATTGGTCATGCAGTGAAGGCAGCTAATGAAAAAGCAGACTTTTTTTCATTTTAATTGGTTATTTCACATGGTGTTTGTGCTACACCTGTGCTTATAATGAGAATGGAGAATTAATCTAACCTTCTGCTCACATGATTCTAATTTTCATGGTTTATACAAGATAATGATAACCTGATTTGCGACACAATTTGTTGTAGATCTGTGTTTTAAATATTTTTATTAGCAGTTCAAGGACTTCATATACAAGAGCTGATATAATATGTATTGCCAACAAGAGTTAGCACCAACAGTATATCTTTTAGTTAGATTCCAGTTTCATTATTTGTTTTAATTACTTCTCAGATAATGAAAGAACATACAAATACAGGATATTGAGAATCTTAAAATGTTATGAAGTATGCATTTTTGTTTTGAAAACCTGTCCCTGTCTGTTTAATGATTTGGTTGTTAGGAACTATTTTCCTTTCTGAAGTGGGCAGACTTACAAACTAGAATTCACACTGGACTGTGGATCCTTTAATTATTAATAGAGCCTTATTAAACTTTTCATTGTATTTTTTTACATCCTGATCAGATTTGATCTGAGTGGAAACTAAAAGCAATTTATTATTTCAGAATCTAATATGTCCTCTTCATTTTCTGGATTTGATATTTAATTCTTAATATTATGCAATATGAATGGATCCTAAGAGAATCTCATGAGTATGACTCTGGAGAGCTTATATTAACTACTTTTTTACATTTCAGTGACTAGTCACTTTGGGAGAGGCTACAAAAATAATTGTACAAAAGCATCTTATTAAGACAAAGTAACTTAAGTCTTAATAAGTTTATAAATTTTCAGTACTAGCTGGAGAAAGCAAAATCATAAGTTAAATTACTGTATAGCTGTGACCTTGTCTTGACCTCAGACTTTACATAAAGAGCCAAAAAAAAAAAAGTCACCCCAAGAAATCTCTACAAGGAATGCATTTCTCTGAAGTCCCAAGCAGTGTGAGTTAGTGGTGATAAACTCCAGACATTCTCTCATTTGATGGTGTGCTGCCATCCCAGTTCATTATCTTAATAGTGGGCATTAAAATAGAATTAGGTTTGCAAGAGGTAGGGGCGGTTTTGATAAAAATTGTAAAAAAGAAGTCAGAGAACGTAAGATTGAAATGCCACTAATTAGGAGAGGTAACAGATGCCCTTATGAGCATCTAACTCTCTACACCAATTTTCTCTCCTTGCAATTGAAAGCAGTGGTGGCCAGTATTGTTTCCTGAAAACTCTGCTAATTCCCCCATGAAAAGATGAAATGGAAGTGTCCAACTGTGGTAAAACAGGCAAACATAAATCAACTCAGAAACCCCAAGCCTGTATATTCAAAGGTCACTGGGGGTTACAGGTTTTGCAGCATGTGAGGCTGCACATAGAGCGGTGGAGAGAACTGAAGGAGTCCCATTTTGCCAAGATCTAGCTTTACTCCAACTGTGATTCATCTTTTCCTCTTCCTCAACCCCTCCTTTTATTTGTAAGGAATAATGATTTGCTTCACTTTCTTGGTTACAG